AACTGCATTTGAAACAATAACATGCAGCATTGTTACAAGGACTTCCTGTTGTTGTGGTCATTACATACATATTAAAGGCCACACCCAGTTCTCACATTTCACTGTTGTTAAACTTCATAACCATTATCAGAAAGAATTTGGGGGGTGGGGACAAAAATTGTTGTCCAACATGAAAAATATGACATCATCCCAATAGTACATCCACCAAAAGAACTGGATGAGAAGCTCAATGCTATCCACACCAACCAGTAGGTCTTCACACACATCTTTGGAAGACCAAAGTCATTTTTAATAGCCACGCTACACCATCACCAGTTATCATAGATGGAAAATCATTGAGGAAGTAGACAGTTATGTATACCTCGGAGAGAAGATTCCAAGAGAGGTACCCTACTTCCGGTGATCCAAAAAGGATTGTGCTTGGCTGGGTGGCTTTTGGAAAGTTTATGGCATTATGAGAAGTCTCAATGATCGAAAGCTAGAGAAAGTTGTTTAATATGTTCTGCAGGTGATGACTTATGAAAGTGAGACATGGACACTCAACACTACCATTGCACAGACTCTTGCAGTAGCCCAAAGTAAAATAGAGAGAATCATGCTCAGGATCACCTTACGTAACAGGAAGAGCAACATCTGGAACCGACAACAGATTAGAGTGAAGGAAATAATCGAGACCATACAAAAGGGACAAACATAGATGGGCTGACGACGTCTCAGAGACAACAGGTGCACTATTAGAATGACAGAGAGGCCACCAAGGCAGTGGAAAAGAATTAGATAGGCAAAATGCAAAATGGCATGATGATCTGATTGGATACCTCGGCCCGGTATGGCTGAAGCTAGGAAGTGGTAGAGGTCAAACAGATAGGGTTTCCTCCAAGAGGAATGAGATTTTGGAGTTTAATCATATTTATGACCTTTGCTGGGTCACTCAAAATATCAATCCCTCTTCTTTTTTTCTTTTAATGTTTTTATATATTTTTTCAATTTTATTTTTAATTCTACAAGTAACTATGTCATATACGAATAAATTTTAATGTTCGCCTTTTTATATTTATTACTCACAAGAATATTTTCATAAACTTAATTTTATAGGATTATTTATTTTTGAGATATCGCAAACTAACACTTTTCCCATAACATCTCATCAGATTCTAAGAAACTATAGTAAAGACCAACTTTCATTTGGGTTATTAAAATTGACTATTTCAAATAAATTGACTTCTTAACCTTCACAATCATTATTAGAAATAAATGGGGGGGGGCATCAAAAATTGTTATCCAACAAGAAAATAAAACTTTAGTGATTGCAGAAACTACATTGTTATTAATTACTGTTGCTGCACATTTATCAAAATTATAATTCCAAGAGAGTAACATTGGCTGAATATTTTCAGATACAAAGTTGTCACTTCCTTAAATTCAGTCACCATACGAAAACTGACAACAGGTATTGGATTCTTTTTTCTTTTCTTTTTGCTCTTTAAATTTAACACACTGCTCCAATACAAGATAAATTCCATGTTCAGTGTAATGATTGTTAACCATTACCCTCCTAATTTCTTTCTAGAATTGTTCCCCCTGCCACTGCATTTTTTTTTTTGAGGGTGCAAAAACATGAACACCTACTGTTTTAAAATTATTATAACTTTGTATTGTGCATATAGATTTTATTTTTTTGTACACTAATAAAAGGAATGAATGAGTAGTATTTTGATGTAATTCATTACATTTTGCATGCATGTCTTGATGTTAAAAACAAAAAAATTGAAATGTAAAATAAAAAACAAATTCATTAAAAAATACATAAATAATTCAACATACTTTAACTTTTTACATTATTATTCGGACTATTGTCCTCATCTTTGTTGCCATATTTATCACATTTCAGCTGTTGTATGCTTCAGCCTTCTTCAGGTAGTTGGAATGTCTAACTGAACCCTTTATTTAACTCGCTGGGTTAAACTGTTTTAGTTCCACGTGCCATGTCTAATAGATGTCAGTTATCTCCTCTTAATTCACCTCTCCAAGTTCTACACTGCCTTAACCAGGTATTGAAGTCACACTCTTTGGGTACTGTCACTGGATCTAACTAATGCCTTTATCCACTATGCCATGTGTCCTTGAGGACATCTATGTATGAATTTCTGGGTATTATAAACCTAATGTCTTCTGCATCATTTTTTACCAGTGCACATATTGCAATTTTTGCGGTTATCATTGCATGTTTTTTACCAGAGCTCATATTGCAATTTTCATTGTTGTTATTGCTTTTCTCTGGCACTCCTTATTACTGGTTCCCATATTGTATTCATTTCTATGCTTGGTCGGCTCAGGAGATTTTTGTGGCCTAGCATATGTGCTGATTCTTTAAGTATACAAATTTTCCAATGGTGTTCTTTGTCTATGATCTCAGCCTGATCCCACAGAGGGCGGGGATCTCCCTTCTCTCTCCATATGTGGTCAGCCACGCCTGATTTTTCCACTTCCCCTCGTGTTACAGCTTTCTGCTGTTCGTGAAACCTTACCTCAAGGAGGCGGCCTGTCTCCCCTTTATATTTCTTTCCGCAGCTGCATGGGATGGCATACCCACAGTCTTTAGTCATGTTCTCCTCTATGGGGTGGGTGGGGCTCTTACTCGGGAGAGATACCTGCAAAGTACCCTATCCCAGTTTATTGGGACTGCTGCCATGTACCCAGGTATATCAGAGAAAATACAAAGGATCTGCGGTCCGTATAACAGCAAGATAACCTTTAAAAGCTGGACGACACTTCGCAGATATCTCTCCCGAGTACACATTGTGGCCTAGTTCTTGAAAAAAAAAAAAATAAAATGTAATTATCTATTATAAAAAATTCAAGATAGCTAACCTTATCCTCAAAAATAACAACACACCAGCTAAGTCAAAATTACAACAAACATTATATATTAGTTCAAATGCCCCTTAAGGAACTGTGTTCCTGATCAAACTGAATTCCTTAATTACATTGGTCACACAACTACATGCCTATCCAGAAGCCTTACGTTAACCCTATCTGAACAAAGCTCTATGAGAACCCATTTAAACACACACACAAACCTACCAGACTCCATTCAAAACATACTAGTAGAAAACACAAACGTAATAACCTCATCCACATGTAAAAAAAAAAAGAGTAAAAATAATGGAAGCCTTAATAATAAAAAAGAAAAAGCCAACTACGAACTAAGCCACAATGTGTTAACTGGGTTCAGAAAATACAACATCTCTGTATCTCTGTAACACACTAAAAAACATACACATATCGCATACACTCAATTAAACTGAAAAAATAAAATCACTCTTGTGGTAATGGCTAAAAATATAACTGAAAGCACTCGGAACTATAGAACATTTGGACAATTTCTGCACACATTGTGCCCGAAAAAGAAAGCTCATGTTCAAACACAAGAAAAATTAAATAAAAAGCTTAACCGTAGTAACTTGTCTCTCGTTTGTAATGAAACATGCATAAATGAAGGATTGCTGCCTAAATACACAATTTTATACACGCACGCGCGTGCGCGCGTGTGTGTGTGTGTGTGTGTGTCACTTTATTAACTATACTCTTCTAGCATCAGGTTGGACCCCCTTTTATCTTTAGAACCCCCTCAATTCTTCTTGGTATGAATTCAGCAATGTTCTGGATGCACTTTCCAAATTTGGATCTATGCTCTTATCATGGCATCCTGCAATTCTTGTAGATCGCCTGGCTGCTTGTCCAGAATTCAACACTCCTTTTCCACCACACCATTAATGTGCTCTATCGGACCGAGATCCAGTGACTGTAAAGGCCACTTTAAAACAGAGAACTCATTGCTGTGTTCCATGAACAAATCTACCACTAATTTTCTTTTTTATTTGTGATGTGGTGACTGTAATAAATTCCAGTATAGTTTGTGACATTCACTTACATGCAAATATCCCTTCTTCCTCCAGCTATGGGTTGAATAGCAAGACAGACTGGGTTCTATAGCCATAGTTGGCAACTAGCCTACAGCAGAAGGAAACGGCAGCCTACAGTGGAAAAATCTTGTGCCCAGTCAGTCATGGATTGAAACAGACATGATCATCCAGGCATGTATTATGTGTAGCACATCAGTAACTGACCGACTCTGCTTTATCCTGCTGAAAGCAGCCACGAGAGGATGGATGCACCATCATCATGAATTGAGACACGTGGTCAGCTATAAAACATAGGTAGGTTGTCACATTTAAACAATCTCTTATTGTTACCTAGGGTCCCAATGTATGCCAAGAAAATATTCTCCATACCATCACACTACCAATACCACCAGCCTGAACTGTTAATACAAGGCAGGATGGATTCACACCTTTACACTAAATTTTAGCCCTGCAATCCAAATCTTGCACCAGAAGCTGAAACTCATCAGACCAGGCAACATCTTCCCAATCTTCTATAGTTCAATTTTTGTGATCCTTAACAAATTGCAGTCTCAGTTTCTTCATCTTACCTGACAAAAGTGACACCTGCCACAATCTCCTGATGCTGTAGCTCATCTGTTTCAAGGTTTGGTGTGTTGTGTGTTCAGATGCTTTTCTCTAGACCTCAGTTGTAAAGAGAGTTATCTGAACTACTGCTGTCTTTCCATCAGCTTGAACGAGCCTGGCTGCTCTCTGCTGACCTCCTTCAGCAACAAGGGATTTCCACCCACAGAATTGATGCTCAATTTTTTTCTGACCATTTCCTGTAAATTCTAGAGATGCTTGCACGTGAAAAATCCTAATAAGTCAGCATTTTTTTTTTTTTCATGCGCACTTAAGCAGCCAGTGAGTGTATATTGGAAAACAATACAACGATCTCAAATGTCTTATAAACAGAAAAATTAAATTTCTAATAAAGCCATGTAAGAATGAATGAACATAAAAATAAAGACAAACCCTTACTTTAGATGTTGGACACTAAATTTCTGAATTACCTCTTAAAATTTTAATGGAAAAATATTTTTTTAAACTTACCATGGAACAGAATGGAAATTTCCAGCAAAGAAGGTGGTACTTGGGCAGTGTTTGAAACAACTGTTGCCGTTGCAAGGATGACAAGACATTGTAGAGATTGGAAAACAGTTTCTAGTTCCTAGAGAAGAAAATAAATAGATAATAACACCATGTAAGAAGAGTATCGCTCAACTGTAATAGAATATTGAAGAAATAATGAAAAAATCTTTAAAAAAAAAAAAAAAAAATCAAATTTCACACTCCATTACAAGATTTTAGCCTCTGATGAAACATGAATCTGCATTATTTTCTTTAGAACTCTTCACAGTATTACTTCCCCTAGTTCTTGATTTTAATCAATGTAATTTTCTGTTACCATAGCAGGATATGACAACACAAACATGAAATTCAAACTATCATTTATAGATAGTTGTCACTGTCAGTGGTAGTTCTAAATTTTGCTTGACAAAATTGGGAACCACAACAGGGGTAGTGGTGTCCACAACGGGGTGGTGGGGGGTTAACCACAGCAGGACAGAATGTGCTAACTGAATAAATGATGATGAATATAATTAAATGTCAAGGAACTAAAAACCCAAAATGAGGCCAACACTTTGTATATTGTATTTAAAATACCGACTCAATAAAATATTTATGCACTTAATCATGAACGAGATTCAGATTTTCATTCATTAAAAATAAAAATGAGTCTCCTATTCAACCTGAGAAATTTAGTATTTTTATTTTCCCGAGAGGGAGGGGATTAAATTATTGATCGATATGCAAGTATCATTCATAAACTATAGTGGTTGACAAAGACAGTTATTAGTGCCTTGTGTTTGTTGTCATAGCAATGACAAAAAAAAAAAAAAAATTAGCTGAAATGAAAAGACATAAAAGGAGAGAAAGAGAGACTTAATAACAACAGATTGAGATGAGTGGACAGTCCTGCAGGGAGATGAAATGACACAGGAACTAAAACAGGAAAGAAATCAAAGGACAACAGGAAAGAACCAGGCAAAAGATCCAATTGACAGCCTGACATTCAGAATGAACAAATGGTTCAGAGTTAAAGAGAGAGAGTGTGTGTAAAAAATGGCAGTAAAAAAAAAAAATACTGGTCAAATGACAATCTGAACAAAGAAATGTTTAAGTGGACAATTATGTAAGAAAAAAAAAATTATCTTGATGAGTATCTTCGTCTCTTATTTTTATTACAACACTAGTCTAGAAGCCGCCCTTTGTCCGAACATTAGGCTAGCTCCTCCGGAGGGCTTTTAAAAGACACTCCCTTTTGAATTCCATGTAGCTACACAACATTTCACATTTTTTTTTTTATCATTACTTGAAATGAAGAAACATGTCAGCAAGGACGAAGTACTATTTTCAGATAGTCTATTTTATTCGATTTGTTTTCTCTACAAATATATCCTGAAACTATATATATATATATATATATATATATATACACACACACACACACAAACAACAACCAAGAAAACATGCAAAAATTACATCAATTTAACATATATTTTTCAGGATAGAAGGACTTTCACTAAAAAGTGCTCAATAGATAAGGGCTATAATATCAAATAAATTAAGAAAAAAAAATCATTTATCAGGTTTGCCAACTCAAGAGTTTCGTGTCAAAACACTCATTATTGTCAATTTGTCAGGAAGGCAACTTTATGATATTATGGGCCTCTGGGGAGGCAATCCCGGTATGCGCCACCCTTAGAAAATGCCTGTAAGCCATATCATAAATTGCCCCCCCGCCCAGCCTTGTGAATGATGCCAAGAGGGCAGAACTGTTTGAAGCCTGTCAATGATTGTGCTAGCACAAAGTCACAAGTTATCATGACTGTGACTTTTAATGGACTGTTTTCGTTCAAACTGCTCATCACACCTGATTAAGCACTCTCTCCCAAAAACAGAGGATGCATATTTTCTATGACAATTTCTCGGACATTCAGGCCGGTAAATGTTGTTAATACTGTTTATTATAAAACAGCGCATTTACTTAAATATTTGTATCTATAAAAAAAAAAAAATGTATAAACATAAAAATGTCTTAAAATAATTGTTGGACATTATCCATTTCATAATTTGTGACGTCATTTGTTTACATTTGGATACGCATCGAGCATATATGAATGTATGTGAGAAAATCATGGAACATTGTAGTTTAAAAACAGTAAAATCAACCTTGCTAACTGAAACGCTCCTCTGTGGCGAAATCAGTAAAAGAATGTCAGGTTCCGTATAGGCTATAGGTTCGATTTCTGTCACAGGATGCATATTTTCTATGACAATTTCTCGAACATTCATACTGGTAAATGTTGTTAATACTGTTTATTATAAACAGAGCATTTACTTAAATATTTGTATCTATAATAATAATAATAAAAAAAAAAAAAAGAACGAATGTATAAACATAAAAAATATCTTAAAATAATTGTCGGGCTTTGTCCATTTAATAATGTATTTTTATATATATATATATATATATATATATATATATATATATATATATATAAAAAAGTCAGGAGGTCATTTAAAATATGTGATCTTGGTTTCAACCTAACAGCCTCTTCAGGCGATACTTTTTAAAATGACCACTTTAATGCTTTATTTTAAAAAAACCACAAAGAATGTATAAACATAAAAATGTTTTAACATATATATATAATTTTAAAGTTATATATGTGTGTGTTACACATTTCATCCTTGAAAAAGACTTCATAGGACCAAAGTCATGTTTTGTTGATGAAATTCAATGTGAGGACGACAAATAAAAATGCAATCATCTGTAATAATTATGTACTGAGAAAAAATACTGAAGATGTGGGAACAATAGTATGAAATTATGAGCTTTGAAAATGTAAAAAAAATGAAGCGGCTGTTGTTAAAAATGTGACATTATTTAAAGAAATACAAAATAAAAAGTAATCATCACAGATGAGACAGAATTGGATTTTTAGAAAGAAAAGATTAAATTTTGTTTAGATATTAATTTTATTAAAATAGCTTTGGAAATAAAAAAGATATCAGCAGTTGAAATGGTGGAAAATTCCACTGTTTTAACACGTTATCACACTGTAAATTAGGGCAGTTTGGGATGCCTAAATTGATCTTTACACATTTCTTTAATTATTTTCAAGCAGTTTTGTTAAATGTTTTTTTGGGGTTTTTTTTTGGCCTGTATGCCAAAGTGTGCGTTACACATTCATTTTCTACTTTAAAATGCTTTCTAAGCAATTATTAGACATCATTTTATTTCGCTGTTATGACCTTTTAATATTATCACTTGACCTTAATAGATGTATTCCTGGACTTCTTCCAGTTCTTCATCTAGTTTCATAATCTTTCCATTACAATTGAACCACTCTTATTATTTCTAATCACCTGAAACCAACACGGAAGCTTTCCCTAATGAAGTCATTTAGAATTTCTTGTAATTCACCGGATGGTTTCCAATATTACAGTGATAATACAAAGCTTACAAAATCATAGTGAGCAACAATAGAACAAAAGTAAAAAAAAAAAAAAATGAAACTGTCAATTAAAAGCTCCAGTTCAACATGGTCTGTTGTGATCCAAAAAATTTGTGTGCTTATTAATTAAAAAATTTACTAAACCAAACAAACTTTTTCAACAAACCAATAAACTGCCATTATTTTCTGTTGTGTCGGAAACCTACCACCCCTCTTGAAGATGAACTTGTCTGCGAACAAAGATGTTAAATGGCGGCATGTCAGAAGACAGGGACAGAGCAGTTCTTAGCTGAGCTAGTGATTGACTACTCAGGCAATTTCTGTACCTATTTACCAACCTATTAAAACCCTTTTTATTGTTATGTGTTATTTGGCGTTTGTCTATACTAACCCCAAATCAACATCATAACATTTTTAATTATAATAAATTCTACCAGCTTTCATGATATAGATATTTATCAAGTTTAACCTAGTACAAGGACCCAATAACAGGATACCCTGTGAAAGAATTTGCAAATCAGTGCTCTAAGGTAGGTATCTATCAGCCTCAGCAAAGTATTGAGTTGGTGCATAATTATCAGGCGTTTTTGTAGGCAAGTTATTTGCTAATAAAAATTGCTGTTTTGTTTACTTTTTTTAATAAAAAATATTTTATTTTCAGGTTATAAAAATGTATTTCAATAATCATACGCTCTAGAAAAATCATTTAAAAATGTTATTGTTGAAGTGTTATGTTTCTTTTTCATAATAAATATTGTTTTAAAAATGCCTGATAATTAAGCACCAACACAATACTAATTAGGATATAGTTTCCCTTTCTTTTATCAATAAATCAATCAGTTGCAACTGACTAATTTTTTTTTTATGTCTTAAACTTTTCCAAGTTATTTAAAGTCAGTAAATATTTTTGGAATGTAAGAATTTTTCCAAAATAATTACTTATTCATACAAATCCTACTAATTAATCTATAACTGGTGGGGAAAAGAGGTGAATTCATACCTTTCCTAAGGGCATTTGCATGATTATTAATATAACAAATGCATTTAGGACTGGAACACAGATCTCCAATTTCTAATAGTTATCCATTACATTACCCACATGTCAAAATTTCCAGAACCTGATATTCTTAAGCAATAACCAACCTAAGTGCTGACCAGGCTCAACGTTGCTGTAGTAAGCCATCACAGATTAACAGCTGCCTAAGTCCAAATAGCCGCAAATCTACCCATTCGCCTCATCAGCTTCTATTCAAAGGTAATCCATAGTCAGAACATCCGGGTTATTCCATCAACCCCGTAGGTAGCCAATCTGGGATATTCCATTAACCATTTTCTTTTACAAAGAATGGAATGAGTTTTTATTTGTAGCATGGGTCCAATGGTGTCGGCATGTGCACACCTGCAGACTTTTTTAAGGTAAGTGTATTTTTTTCTACACAGTTGCTTAACCTTTATCTAACTGGAGGCAAAGATTGCCTCTGAAGAATTCTCACCCTTTGCTGCTCTAGGTGCATTCTGTCACCTCGAGAGGGTCACTATAAATAAACACTTGTCAACTGTTATCTCCAGTATTTTAAGTTGAAAATAGCCTACTACTGTTTTGGAATGAGGCTAAACTTCTGTTTTCCAATGCCATTTTGAATTC